TGATGATTCTTTCTCATCATTGATGTTTCTGTCTCTCCCTTGCCTTTCCTGTCTGAAATTAATAAAAATATATTTTTTTAAAAAAGTGAACCCAAGCACCACCTCTGCTGTATGATTTTTCTCCACTGTACTTATCCTATAAAATGTAAGCTTTCTGAAAGACAGGGGTTTTTCTTATGTTTTGTTCACTGCTGTACTCACTGTCTAGAGAACTTAGTCGATTTCCATTTCCGCCCCTCCATTGAGCCCCTTCAGCCAGCCCTTATCCTCCCCCCATCTCCTCCCCTCGCCCCAGGCCTTCAGCACCTTATTGTCTGTGTCCATGCGTTATGCATATATTCATTCAAGGTCTTTGGGTGATCACCTCCCACCTACCCACCCTCCCCCACCGTCCCTCTGAGATTCCGCACTCTGTTCCATGCAGTCCATTTACATTTAATGCCATTTATGTCTGCCATATGCTATTTGTTTTCCGTGTGTCTAGAACAGTACATAGCACATAGTAGGCACACTGTAAACAACTGAATGAGAAGAGGAAGTCCAACTTTTTTCTTTTTTTTCAACGCTTTAAAAAACTAGATTGCTTGTATTTTCAAAGGTTAGCTTCTGGCATGTGCTAACTTAAGGAGGCTCCAATTTTCTTATTCAAAAACAATCTCTTGCTTTTGCTTGTTTTTCTTTTAAACTTTTTAATATGAAAAACTTCAACACAAAAGTAGAGTGAACAGTGCCCAGACGGCATGGCTCAGTGGTTGAGCTTCAACCTAGAAATCAAGAGATCACTAGTTTGCTTCTGGTAGGATACATGCCCAGGTTGGGGTCTCTGTCCCCAGTAGGGGGTGTGTAGCTGATAGATGAAGTTTCTCTATCATCAATGTTTCTATCTCTCTATCCCTCTCCCTTCCTCTCTCTAAAAATCAATAAAAACATATATTTTTTTAAAAGTAAAGTGAACAATATAAAGAACTCCCAAGAACCCATCAGTTGAAACAATTATCAATACTACTTTGCCATTCTTATTTCATCTAGCTCCCTACTTTTTCTTCTAGAGTTCTTCGATTTTCCATAACCCCTCTTTAAAGGAGGCAGCCACTGCAACCTGGTGACTTAAAAGGCAACTCCTGAAGGTGCTGGAGTCTCAGGCTTGCACATATTTCCTCGAGAGAGAAGTCTGGTCGCAAAGTGAAACTTAAGAACTAAGGGACCCCTGCCAGCAACGACAGGTCTTCAGAATCATTTCTGCTATGAAAATCAATTTAGTTGCACTTAGCTATGGATTCCCAACTTTTAAAGACTTCATTAAGATCTTTAACTATAAAACCTCAGCTTTCAGTTTCTCCTATTTGGACATCTAGGAAGATTGTAAGATCACATTTTCCTTGAAACTTAAAATATCATTATCTAATATACTGGTTTTAGTTCCACAATTACTTATTTATTTTGATAACACCTATTTCTTGCTCACCAATTTTATCATAAATCTTAAGTTTTTTAACCTCCGCATCTTGCTTTTTCTTTATTGCTTTCTTTATGCACAATTTTCCACATTTTGCTTGAAAAACAAGACATTATTACCTACCAGCTAAACTTCTAAAATTATACAACAGGAAAACAAATAACTAAAATATATATTAAAAATGAATATAAAAAAGACAGAATCATAGATATGGAGAACAGATTAACAGTTTCTAGGGGTTAGAAATGGGGCGAGGAATGAGGTGAGTGTGCCTTGTTGATGAATGTGCTGTATCTTCACTGTGGTCACACGAATCTACACCTGTGATAAAATTGCACAGAACTAAATACACAAATAAGTGCATGGAAAATGGGTGAAATGTGAATAAGCTCTGTGGACTGCACCAACACCAATTTTCTGGTTTTGATACTGTTCCTCCAATGGAAAAACCCGGGGAGAGGGTACACAGTACCTCTCTATTTTTTGCATCTCCCTGTGAATTTATAATTATTTTAAGTTTTTTTAAATAATGTTGATAAACATCCTACAAACCTTTACTTCTCAGAATTATTCATGCCATAAATAAGAGCACACTTTCCCTTCTCATAAAAACCAAATCATTTTTTGTAGTTTTGAAATCGACAATTTTGTAATTGTTATGCATTCAAAAATATTAATCTTCAAAGTGCCAGGAATCCTGTGGGCACACACAATAAAATGAACATAAAATTATAAACAGCAAGATAATAAAGCTGTTCAATGAATTGCCCAATGCATAACTTTGCTTACTGTTTGCGATATTTCAGCATGATACACTCCCACAGAGACGCTAAGGCCCTCGAGGGATAACTATTGATAGCATGGAGCTAGAGAGGTCAGCATTGAAAGTACACAGGAATCACTAATGTAGTAGGACTTTAGGTTTGAGTGAGCTCACAAAGCAGAAAAAGAGAGGGGATGCAGAAAGGAGACAAAGTCAGAGCAAAATCCGTTTTCCAACATAGTCTGTGGCATAATTAAATCTCCAAAGTCCTCCCCAATCAGGGTTCCTTACTGTGAGTCAGTTACCAATTTGGCATAAAGATCTAAGCAAACAGGTTTTCTCCAAGGGCACACATATAGTTCATGGTGCCAATTCCACGTAGCTGGCCCAATTTCACTACAGTCCCAAGGTGGCTACATTCAAAGAGAATGAGAGACAGAGTGAGACAGAGAGTGAGCCCCTCTAAAATAAAGTCATAAAGCAGCAGGACAGTCCATCAACAGAAGGACTTCTTCCCTGTTTCAAAAATAAAAACACCACACGAAACAAATAAAAAATGCTACTTATTTTTATTACTTCGTGGTTTTAATTCTTGAAAAAAACAAAGCCAATTCTACAAATTACTGGCCATCCATGGCCATCTTCATGCAACAGCTCTATGGAAAAAGTTCTGGCTTCAAATCAGAGCCACTTTAGGGGTTCCGTTTAAAATAGTTTCTACTTTTATACATGTGCTCTAAAAATGAGGCTGAAAAGCAACAACAATACAACTCCAACTGGCCAAAGAGAGAAGAATTCTGGTGGACAATTGGACCACTGTGTCGCGAATTAAACTGTTCACACCTGCAGAATAAGCTCACCAGCATAACCGATCTCCCCTGAAATGCAGCCCCATTGTAGCAAAAGGGGGATCTCTTCTTCCACTAACTAGATCCTATCTTTCACTGATAAACTCTTTGGATGAGAAAACCAGCAGCAGATGTGAAAGCCACATGGCCCTCTACAAAGCAGGAGAGCAAAAAGCAATGTTAAAAGAAAAGATTCCTTAAACAGCAGCTCCCTATCAAGAATGAAGATGTTATCATCGAATGCTGACTTTGTGGAAAGCAGCTAGCTATTAGACGCTATTCCAAGACTCCGGCTCACAGTATCAGGCTGACATCCAGGAGTTGGACTCGCTCAGCTACACCCTTGTTTTCAACTCTTGGGAACAGGGCCAATGTGTAAAGTTAGAATATAACAAACCCAGTTTGCAAGGGGAAAGAAGAAGACAATGTGGGCACTCTTACTTAATGTAATCGATAGGCTCTGAGCGTGGTTTACACTTCAGTACATTTTCATTTAGCGCATTTTAAATTTGAATAATTTCTTCCATAATTTCCCAAACATTTCCACACTCTGCATCAAAAAAGACTCGCTAACACCCCCAATGAAGTAATACTGTGGCAATGAGGAATACTGAAGACTTTTTCAATTACCTATTTAAGTAGAAAAATACAGGGTAGGGCAAAAGTAGGTTTACAGTTGTGAATACATGAAACACAGAGTTTATTCTTGTATTATTATTCGTTAATTATTGTATTATTTTTCCATACAAACTGTAAACCTACTTTTGCCCTGCTCTGTAATTTTGATTAAGCAAAATGCTTCATAAAAAAGTGTAAAAGCAGAAACTCTATAAATTTTATGTGATTTCATTCAACAGCCATAGAAATAGCAAGCACCAGAGTCTCAATTTGGCTACAGTTTTCACCACTCTCAAACTGCCTTAATATTTTTAACTTCACATTCTTGGTGGGGCTTTGGATTTTAGTGTATGTTTCTCCTACCACTCAATCTTACCAAACCCTTTCTCTTAAAGGTATAGACACTTGTGTAAAATACATTATAGAAACCAGGGGGGAGGGGGGGGGAGAAAGTTATTTATTTGGCAGTTATGGACAATGGATATCACAGTGTCCATGAAAAGCCAGCAATCATATACACATTTAACTTGTGATAAATTACACGCTCTTCACCAAAAAGATTAATTTTAATGGCCTAAACCCTTGCCTCTCAAAACATGCCAAAGGCACACTGGCATCACCTGGTTAGAAACACAGACTACTGGGTCCCACCCTGGACCTCCTGAACCCAAATTTGCATTTTATCAAGATCCCCTGTGATTCGTGTGCACAATAAAGTTTGGCCCAGGCGATATCTCCCACCATCCCACTCCATGAATGTATGCTCCAGAGTAAGCATGAGATGGGTGTCATTGACCTGCAATTCCCTCGGTGGGTCTCAGGTCTCACAGGCCTCACACCTCACTGAGTGGGTTCTGGTGTTTAAAGAGTAATTTGGACTCTATGCCTAAAACATGACTTCACTGTTTTGTCCCCAGGTTGACCCTCAGCTCCCAACCTAACGACTTGGCTTGATTAAACCAAGGGCTGGCATCTTTGCATTAAAAACGGTGAAGACATTAACAGCTCAGGCTAGCTCAATAAAGACGGCGCACAGAGTTGTCAGCCTTGAGCGCACAGCCACAGGTCAGCCATAACTCAGACTGCAGGGGGAACAGAGCTCTTGAGCAGATGGTCACAAAAAGATAAACACCAAGTAACAATGTCAAACACAATTCCTTAAGTTCAAGGTTGCTTTTCTTCACGTTAAGATGCTACCCAATTCATTAATTCTTTAAAGCTGGTCATTCTGTTAAGTAAATTTGTTATGGAGGAGCTTCCTATACTTTAATTACGTATGTAGGTAGATCTTCAATATCGGTTAATGACGGCTTACCTGTGCACACCTTCCCAGGTCTTTCCTGTCCAGATACTGAAATATATTGATTGCCAATTCATAAGGCAGTTGGATATCAAAGAAGGGCACATCGTCCATTTCATTCTGAGAAGAAAAGGAGAAAGGCAATAAGCTTACAATTCTGAGATTTTAAAATGCTCATATTTGCAGGCCCTTTAAATTACCAGAGATATTCTTAGGTGGCGACAAGAGAGATGATGGTGTTTCCCAGGGGAGCCAAGGGTTGTCACTATTCAGCAGAGCTCAGTCATAGAACTAACTCTGAACTTGACAACCATTCTCAATTCTTTACACCCCCACAAGTCTACCCTCACATTCACGTCTGAAATCCACAAGACCATTTCCCATTATGCTTCAAAAGGAGAAGCAGGTGCCATCTTACAGGCTGGTGTATCACTGGTATCTGTGCATAGGTCTGTGGAAAGCCTCTTGGTCTCTAAGGAAAGGTAACCAGCAGGCAGCCAAGAGTGAGCCATGAAACCAGGTCAGCCATCGGTCCTCTTAGGACAACTGCTACCAACCCCCCTTCCCCCCGCAACTTGAGGGGAGTACCCCGGAGCCACAGGAGAAATGCTGACCTAGGTCACTCAAGTGTTTTCATCAGGAAAGGGGAATAGGGCCGTGAACATGAGCAAAAAGTAAATAAATGAAATGCTGCCCTAGAGCGAGGTGAACACCAGCCCGCCTTGGCCGCGGGAGAAGCACGAGGTTTCCTAATGCACTCAGGGGCTCACACTGGTTAACCTGCGTGAGCCAGTGCAAACAAAGCAGTTCTTCTTCGGTGTCATTTATTAATGCGGAGAAATTAGAGCTCGCCTGCCTTTGGATAAGCAATTAGGGATGAGGTAACAGGCTTTATTTGAGAGATAAGGCTGTCATGACGATCCTAGTAGCACAAAGAAATATGAGTGTGAAACAGAAAAGAAAACCAAGTGTACATATGCAACCCTCTGCCTGTTCCCAAGTCCACCTGCCAAAGCTCGCTTTGGTGTTTGCTTCTGCAAAGCCAGGCAAAGCAGCGCTCTCTGTCCCAACAGAACTTGCTTAATAAAATTCATCTTTAATAAGCTTTGGCTGACATCAGTGACTTACTAGTTGCAAACAAATTACTAATTCATCACTCAAGTATAACAATTATTTATTAGAAGGCTGAATTCTCAAAAGTGAAAATAGTCTCAGCATTTTTAAGGGAATGTGAGCACTGATTTAAACCCTTCAAGATTCAAGGTAAAGATTGTTCTGGAATCATGTTTTCCATTCATCTAGGAGTCTCAGGGCTAAAAGATCATCCAGGGCATAAGAAAGTAGTACATTCAACTACAAAAACAGTGCAAGGCTAAGTGTGAGGCCAAAAAAGATCTCTAGAGGAAAAAAGAGTTAAGAGTTGACAGTTCTCTGTGGGTAAAGAAGGAACAGAATGTTAAATCAAGAGAGAAATGTTGGCTATACAAGGAGGGAAAAAAAAAACAACAGGGAAAAAATCTGTCAGTGTAATTGGAAGACAAAGGGGTCCTTGCCTAAAAAAATAATGAGAAGTCATCAGTCTAATGTCAGGCTAGGAACCCTCCTACAACTAACTGGCTTCACTCATCAAGAAAAGGAGGCATCACGTTCTCTAACCCAGATGCGACTGCGGCTCCTCAACACAGCCCTAGAGTGAGTCACTGGCAGTGGAGGAGGCCACAACAAGGCGTGAGACTATCATTTGCAACCCTGGACTTCTTCCTGCTTTCTCTTTTGATTATTGGACTACGGTGAGGTGGAGACGTCCACCTTACCTACTCATAAAAGGAACAAGAGAAAAACGTTCCTTATCCTCATACGAGCAGAATGAAGGCAAAGAAAAGCCTGCGCCCGTGAGCTCGCTTTTCACTGTGGAGACGTGCGGAGCATTGTTTTCTCCCATCGTTCCCTTCGGGACCCACTATACACTGGGTCTGGCCACTACTGTGAAGAAGCATGAGAAATCACCTGTGTTTTTAGTTATTTTGATGCAGAAAAGTCTTACTTCTGGTGGCAGCAGCCTTCCCCCTTTTGCCTATTCAGTTGACCAATTTTCTATTTTCATCCTAGAAAACAGTGCCTCTACCTTAGCATTCCCCAACCCTGCCATCATCTTCCTTGATCCCAACCACCGAGATCTCTGGGATGCAGCACAGCATGAAGTTTAGAGCAAAGATTCAAACTGATAATCCTGGCTCTCCCTCCTGACTAGCCATGAGACCAGGCTAAATGCATCTGAGCCTCAGTTTCCTCATCAGCAAAACAGGATATAACTACCTGCGAAGAGGTATGTTATTAAGAATAAAATGAGCCCTAGCCGGTTTGGCTCAGTGGATAGAGCGTCAGTCTGCAGACTGAAGGGCCCCAGGTTCAATTCTGATCAAGGGCTCAAACCTAGGTTGCAGGCTCCCAGCCCTGGTCGGGGGCACGCGGAGGCAACCAATCAATGCCTCTCTCTCACATCGGTGTTTCTCACTCTCTCTCCCTCTCCCTTCCAGTCTCTCTAAAAATCAATGGAAAAAAATATCTTCAGGTGAGGATTTAAAAAAAAGAATATTACATGGAAAGGGCTTGGCACAAGTAAGTACCAGGGCTAAGCACGCAATAATGGGATTTTAATATTGCCATTTTCTTTTCTTGAGTGACACTCCAACTCCTTTTTCCATCAACAAATATGTGTTGATTAGGTCCACATCCCATACTATTCCCCTACCACTTAGTTTTTTACACAGAAAATTGCCTCCCCTGTCGTACAATAAGCAGCTAATAGTTGGTGACAGTGGAAAGGGGATGTTATAGCAAAGGCTAAGTAATCCAGGAGTCTGAACACTGAATATGTCCATACAACAGGTCTTTTCTGAGGAGGCGTTTTAAAAAGAATCATCAATTTTGAAAGGTTATACCACAGTGAAAGAAAACGGTGCAGCCACCAGGGTACAAATGACCAGTCGGGGTGTTATGGCTCCCACACCAACAAATGAACAGAGACACCATGCTCATCTCACTGTTAATGCACCAGTTGTGATAGTTCTTGGTCATTTATAAGTTCTGAAGGGCAACAACTGTTTCGAAGCATTGATTAAAATTATAACTAATGTCAATACCAACATTACAAAATGAAACTTTTTAAAAAAATCACTGGGCTCTTAGAACTCCAAAATGATGGTCAATCCCGAACAGATCAAGTCCCAGACTTTTACGTAAACAACCTACCCTGTTGCTACACTGGGTAGCAACAAAAGAAAAACATCTTTTTGGGGAATGGCAGGAAAAAAAGGGAAACCAATATACCAAAGGAAGGTCAACAGCTTAAGAAAATATGGAGACCCACAAGGTCAGGAGAATAAATGCTGAAGTTCCATGTTGTGCACTTGGAATCTTTTTGGCAAGACAGCCTACCGGTGGCTCTTGTAGTGGATGCTGCAGTGAGTCACTCATATTGTCTCTCTGGGCCCACAACACTCATCCCCCCAGGATGCCCAGAATGCTGCCTGCTGCTGGCTCGCAGCTGAGTCCTTCTTAGGCATTGCCACTGGCCAAACAAGATGCTTCATCTAAGACTGCATCCCCTCCTGGAGGGTAGTCTACATCCAGTGACTCCCCAATACCTACAATACACAAGCCTGGCCGCTGGACCTCTCAGAAAGGCCAACCCACTAGACCACTTACATGCAAATCTCCATCTCAGAGCCTGTTTCAAGAAAAAAATCCAACCTTTCTTTTCCAAAGCGAGAGACACAATCCATGATAGGCCTGTGTTCCACACATTCCCAAGGGTTCTTAAGCACAACTCTGGTAACATTAGGTAACCTACTTCCCTCTCCTCTACTCGAGGAGACATAATGGAATATAGGTAAATCAGAGTGGCAGAATTATACCAAAATCACAAACAAAAAATCTAGAGAAGCTTCAAGGTAAAGCAAATCATTCACTTTGTTATTATTAGTAACGTGTCACTTGGGAAACACCTTACTAAGGATTGAGTTATGAGCATGTTTGACCTTGTGGTTGAAAATGCAACTCTTTATAGGAACCATAATTTGACAAGAAACCAGAGCCACATCCTGGACAGAGGCTGTAGCCCTGTAACCACCTACACCCTAACAGCTGCAGCATAATGTCTTAAGCTCTGGCTTTGATACTTCCCACAGTTCATAAATATAAGCAAAGAATGTTACTTGCTACTAATGTGCAGAGAAATACTCTGTAAACTAAAAGGTACTATCAGACTTCCACCTAGGCTATTCGGAAGCACACAGCCATCTAAAAAGTTATGGAACACATCAACCAAGTCTATATCTATACTGACTTAAAAACATGGAAATGGATAAATTGGCATTTAAGAAAAAATATATTCCAAGAAGGAAGAGATTAAAGGCACTGGAAATATTAATATAGGGCCCAATTTATGATACAGAAGAGCAATAAATTCAAATATTAACATTCTTTCAAATTTAAAGAAAAACATCTTTTTAGTAACACACAATCTGGCTTTTAATTAGTTAATGGCTCAGATATTGATTCTCTACCTCTATTGATGACTCTTCTCCTGTATTACTCATCAAAACTATTTGTGGCGTTAAAAAAATGCCCACGGTCTCTCAGACCTACTGCCGCCAATTTCCAAGGGTGAACTCAAGCATCTCTTCCTCAGGGAGCCTCGTGCACACTAAAAGTTGAGAACCACAACCCTAAATTATAGACAGATATAAAAATCAATACTTTCTCAACCAAGCCAAAAAAAAAGAACCACACAGAGGGGTCAAGTTACTTTGTTAATTCAAAGTCAGTGAATACTAGATTTTCCCAAAGTCTACTGGACTTACTCCAAAAATGCTAAGAGAAATTGCAAATGGATCCATCCCCAGGGAGGCTGATTTGTACTCCTATGTGCTAATGTAAGACTAATTCTGTAAATGGATTGGTTTTGTGCCTTACTGCTAGAAATTCAATCTGTCTTCTCTTGTTTAGTAGAAGAAGGGATAATTACTAAGAGCCAAATCAGTAAAAAGTGAAGAAACGAACTTCAGTTTTGTTCTCAATGTATATCTCCAGGGCAAACAGAACACTAAAGCTCTCTC